AGGATGCACCCTAAAGACAGATAGATATTTATTCATTGTATTGAGAGGATGAATCCTAATGACTTTGGCGCTCCTCTGACTTTGCGTCTAGGGCTATCATGAGGTTGACATTTTTGGCTTTCAGTGAAATATCTCAACTACTTTTGGATGGATTGCCATGACATTCATGTCTCCCTCAGGATGAATTGTAATAACTTTGGTAATCTCTTGACATCAGATTCAAATTTTAATTTGTCCAATATTTTGATTTATGACCTGCAAAACAAGTGACATTCCCATCTCCCTCAAATGTACTTCATGTTTGGTGCTAATTAGCAAATGTTAATTGCGAAACCAGTGTGTTCTTTACATGTTAAAAACAAGAGGTAGGAATTCCCCTTGTTACTCTGGAGACAATCAAGTCAATCAATACACTGGTGTACACTAAACTAGTGTAAAGTGTGTGACATTTTGTTATATTTACATAAATATTGCGCACATAATAACATATTATTATGGTAATGGTTAAGTAGCCTTATATTTTGTAGTCATAGCAAACTACTATCTCTGTAGATTTTCGATATTCATTATTTTATTTGGTGTTTTTCAGCAGGGAAAGGATAAATGTCTTTTAATATGTTCGCATAATGAATATCCTTGTTTCAGTAGTAGGTCAGATTCCAACCACGAGACTGAGGTGAATTTAAAAACAGTGTGAATAATGTTATTATTCCTTCCAATCTCATGATGCATACGCACATCCATAAATTCTTTGCAGGTGTTGTAACAGTTTCTTGTTCCCAATTCATCTTTTACAGCATGTGGACAGGATTGTGCGGGAACAGTATTTTTAATCTTTCAGAAATAAGCAATGAAAACACATTTTTATAGTAGTTTTATAGACTGCTGCTAAGTATCAGTCCTCAGAGGGAAACCTTCAATTCTGTTGGCAGTGATTGGACAATACCCAGTGAACCCAGAATATTGAGACACTTATATGCTGTAGCTACTTAATAACAAAGGCAGCTGTTGAATGATTAGAAAAAAGAAATGTTGGAACTGATGGTTCCTTACAGACAAGGTAAGAGAACAGGAAAGAGATGTTTTCTTTTTCCTCAAAAGCAAAAACTAGCCAGGTAGTCGACCTTAGACATTCCTGATGGAGGAGCCCTGAGGCCAACTGGTTGTAATTCACAGCTTCTGAGGGTAAATGTGTGTAACCCTGCTGACCTCCTGCAACCACTGCAGCTGTAAATAAGGATCTGTCCCTCCTCTACCTGCCCGGTGAAACAAAGGGTCAAATAATAATTTATGCACATATTTTAATAAATCAAGATAAGTGCAGATTAAGTGTCATAAAAGCACAGTCAGTACATTTAGAGACATCCCACTAAGTGAACACACATGGCCCGTAAAACTGTATGTAGGCCATTCCAATGTTTTGATTGTGATGTGTGTGGGTGGGTGTGTGTATGTGTGTTTGCGTGAATGTGTGTGTGTGTGTTTTGGCGACCTGCCCAAGGCTGATGTTGATAAAGTGTGACCACATGAGTTCCCAAAAGAGAAAAAGTTGGAAGCAGGCCGGAGTATATACATACGTTTTCTCTCACTCTCTCCCCTTTTCTCTATATCTGTCTTTTTAATTTCACTTCCTCACCCCCCCTCTCTGTCTTTCTTCCTCTTTTCACTCTCTTTCTCTCTTTTACCTCTCTAGTTCTCTCTCTTTACCCGTCACACACGCTCAGAAAAACATACAAAGGGCCATGGTACATGTGTTCATAGTGTTTTGACAGTCTTACAGTTCTAGGAATTGCTTCATACTTTCTTGGAGATTAACTGAGTCTGGATCAAACTGTACTGTAACACAGGCTGTATGGGGGATGAAATCAAGATTTCCAGGACAAAAATATCTCACATGTACTGGTCTGATTGGGATCACAGCATCAGGACAGGTAAATTGTCGTCCACAGAAAGATGATTAATTAGATGTAAAATTAAACCCTGGGATTGGAAAACATTTGGATAAACTGCGAGGTGCAGGTTATCCGAAAATACCCCAAAAAACATAGTTTTCCTCTTACGCAGAGTGTGAGTTTGTTTTGGTTTTGGTTTGTGGCACATGAAGAGTCCAAAACCCACATCCAAAAATGTCAAGATCAACATCTTGTCCCAGAAATCATGGCACAGTTATGATAAGACCTCAAGATGAACACTGTCAATGAAAACTATTTGTTACCAAATTGCACTCTCCAAAACGCTGTCTCTCCGCAGAAGGGAGACTGCCAATAGTCATGGGCAAGAGAGAAGTGGATGTAAACACACTGGCTGATCTGTACGGTAGTTTTGTGGTGTTATTGGTTATCGCCGTTGGTTAGCTGCATACGAGTTTGCAAAGGATAGCATTGTCAGGGTATTGGGGGAAACCAAAGCACATGATCTCAGCCCACTAGAACACTGTTTCCTTGTGTGCACATTTAGCAACTGAAAATATAGTGGCAGTGTTGACCGTTAAGGGTTCAGCATGCTTCAAATGAGTGTTGTGTCGTCCAAATAATTCTAGAGATGAGGTGGTTACATCTGGCCACATTCAAAGGCAAGGGGATAAGCCTACAAATCCAACCATCCATTTTGGAAGCATGCTGAGACCTTTGCACCACTCTAGCATGTCGCATTTTTGTACCATGGCAGCAAACTGCAATATTTATATATAATCTAAAGCATACTGCGAAGGAGAATGACATCTTATAATCATGGCACAGTGTTTGAATCTTGGCTAGCATAATTATTGTTTTATTATTTGCATGTACCAGAATAAAATAAAGAAATGCCATCCATCACATCCACAATAACTATGCTCACTTGAGGATATTTCGCTGTGCTATATACCAATTAGGACTTGAGTAATTACTTCCTGAAACCATCTTTGTTTTGTCGCTCCAGAAATAGTGAATAGCATATTCATAGTTATCTTGCAGCCTTTTATTTCGACTTACTTTCTTTTCTCCTCTTGGCTTTCTCCATCAACGTCCTGTTCGGTCTCTTTGCCACCGTGGAGGCTACTGCGGCAGGTTACATTGCCCCCCCCCCCCCCCCCCTGAGTCGCACTTTGTTGCACACGAGAGATTTTCCCAAAATTGACTGTGTGCTGTGTGTCGTGTGTGTACGCATGTGCATGTGCTCCAACAAGACAATCCTTTGATAGAGAACAGGAAATAACAGGTGAACAGAAAGGACAGGAATGTTTTTTGTGTGCATAGCCAAAGAAATTTAAGAAAATCTTTAATAAATTATTTAACTAATAGCACATGTCAGGACTAACATTTTTTTGATTTTATTATTTTTCTGTATGTGCCATGGACTGCAGATTACATATTGGATAACTAATAACACTGCGGCTATAGCATTAAGGTATTCTGTCCACAAAGTGGATCATTTTGCCGGGAGGCTTGTGCATTGCAGTCTGAATAATGCTGTCTGTTTTTCTTTAGGCTGCACAGAAACTGGAGATGTGTTAAGGGAAAGACATTGATCACATATATGAAGTCAGTCATGTGCCACACTGGGACACATTGTGCTTGTATGACCTCCACTCATCTGTAATGTGTTTCAATGCCTCCAAAACAAAACAGAATGTCAACACTGTACATTACAGTAATTGTTTAACACTGCAGCCTTTGTCTGTGTGTGTGTGCTGGCTCTGTTCTTATAGGATAGGCCGTACTTGTTAAAGCACCAGACCGGAGCCATGGCGGG